ACCGACCAAACTGTGCAGCTCTGCAACTGCATCCTGGCCCATCCTCACCCTTCTGCCCCCAACCCTCACCTCCTTGTACCCCCAATATGTTTTTCCCAATTAAAAAAATATTAAAAAAACCCCAAAACAACAAAAAACCAAAAAACAAGAGTAGAACTTTGCTCCATTGGGTTTTCAGTTGCGGAATTTATAGAAATGGATTGCTGGGCTTTCCCCCCTTAGTACGCCTAGGTGAACTTGAACTACTAATCTTACTATTTTCAGTCAGCTAGCTGCCTCATCTCGGGACTCCCAAGTCTGCCTCAGAAGATACTACAAAAGCACAGGAACAATAGGAAATGCTGACTTGAGGGCAGTGAGAAAACGTAGATGGAAGAAGAGCTCTGAGCTAATGCGGTTGCCATTAAGGTGCACGCAGGAGAAAGTACCATGAGCTGAGAGCTACGCAGGTACTTATGTTTAATTTTCTTAAAGTACAGCCAAAAAGGCTCCTGCCATACTGCAGCCAAGCTGAGGGCATTTTCTCTTTCTCTCATGATACTCTGTCTCTCCTGACCGAAGAAAACCATGTATAAACTAACACAGTTTTCATGTTTTACAGATATAATTTTCCAACCCATCAATCATACATAAACTAATTGATGTCCTAGAAACATAGTTTGTAGCAGAAATATTTGTAGCTCACTCTGTGACCTCATTTTCCTTACCTGGAACTTTGGGGGTTGGGATAGATTTTTATCATATTTTGTTGAAGGCTGCACCTCCTTTGCTCCCAGGGTCGAGGGGTCGAGACCTTGCGTTGTGGCTCGTGGTAGAAAAGTTATTGGAATCTGGTACCTCTCCATTTCCGGCCTTAGTGGAGTGGCTCTGTGGCTCTGGTTTTCATCTGCTTTAGTGATTAGTGGCAAGGAGCTGCACTCCCAACCAAAAGGCAGGCAGTTCAAATTCACTAGCTGCTCAGGAGAAATCATCTGTTCAATTTTACAGCTTCTGAAATCCACTGGAGAGCCGGCAGGTGACTTCCTCGTGGATTGGTTCCCACCCAACTTCCTTGTGGATTGGTTCTCACTCAACACGGTGGTTGATTTGGCTCCTAGTCAAGAACACAACAACAATGTATGTGATTTAATTTGAGGAAAACATTTTGCATCTCAAAAGGTTTGAAACCCCTTGGGTAGGATATTAAGCTTGTTTCCAATTGTAATTGTGTAACTCTCAGCTGGGTTAATTGTCTATGGGGACTCCATAGTCTGTAACATTCCTTAACATATATCTTCTCATCTATTCTATCAACTTGAAGTAGTAGAGCAGTGTATAATAACTCTAATTGTTCCTAATAAGAAAGATAAGTGACTTCCTAACATATCATATGGCCATGGGAAGATACAGCTTAAACTCATTTTTTTGACACCAAGTTTTATTATTTTCCCAAGACTCCTGTGAAAGGGAGTTAAGAGTTTAATTTCTAGATGTCAGAAGGAAAAGAGCAGCAATTCTAATATTTAAAAGTATGATTAGGAAGAACACTAAGGTAAATGAATTTTTATTTTTGAAAAGTTAACTTTGTAAGATTTTCATCTTTACTTATATTATCAAAGGTTATTCTATTTTTTTGGTAAATAAGATCTAGAGAGACGATTACTATGAATGCCTTGAGTTTGAATAGAAGACAATTATTTAAAAACTTGCAGGTGAGCACAAAATTCTATGAATAAGCATGTTTTGAAAAAACATTTCTTGAGCTCGCAGACTTATATTTAGAACTGTTGTGTGTTGTGAAGTTTAGCAAACATTGTGTCTCTACTCATTACCTTCTCTGTTTTGTCTTTCTATCTTCTTCGTATTCTGTGACAAATTATGCTTTCTTCTCATCAATTACATAATCTTCTACATGAAATACAAATGTGGAAAAAGGATGCATTTTACTACATGCATTTGAACAGCCTCTTTCCTGGTTTCTATGCCTCATCTCACTTAAATTAATTGGAAAAGTCTTTTTTGTATCCTAGTCCATCAAGTTGGAACCAACTCAAAACTGACCCTCCAGTGGATTTTCAGAAATAGTAAATTAACCAGCATGAGAGTGTCCATCTTTCTCCTGTGGAGCAGCTGGTGGATTTGAACTGCATGCATTTGGGTTGACAGTGCAATTGAGTTCTACAATAGAGAACTCTGGTGGGTTAGTGGTAAGGAGTTGTGTTGATAACCCAAAGGCACTCAGTTAGAATCCACCAGTTGTTCCAAGGGAAGAAGATGGATAATCTCCTCTTGTGTGATTTCAGACTGCCTCTGAAAACCTAGGAGGGTCAACTATGAGTTAGTTCTGACTTGATGGTACATAACAACAGCACTAATTCTTAGTGATGGGAATGACTGTTACTGGGTTAGATTAGACAGCTCCTTGAAATAACAGTGGCCCCTGTCATCCTCTCTCTTTATCTCTTTTACTTCTTACGCACTTACATTACCCATCCTGACTGCAGGAAATCTCTAAGCAGAAATGAGAAGCCAGCCAAGATCTGCCCATTTTCCTGGACAGTTGATCCATAGCCTAACGAGTGTCCCAGGGATGGACACACTCTACCCCTTTCATAGATCTAGAATCAGGGATAATCAAAGAAAAGATTCCTTCCACTGAACTGAGGAAACACTACCGTATTGCCAACTCTGTATTCTAATTTTATAGATGTGCAAACCCACCCAAGCTTAATGAAAAGGAACTTGGAAGGAGAGTGAGATTATTAAATTGCTTTTAGACTCCCTGCCTGATTACTTTTAGACACTGAGCACATGTGCCAAACTGTGTGACTGACTGGTTTCCCCTGATGACATTGTTAATCATCGTAATTATGGTAACATATTGGTGCAGTGTTTTATAGTGTTTAAAGCATTTTTATATTCATTATCTTATTATTTATATTCAGTATCTTTGCAACAAACTTGCCAGAAGAATGATTCTCTCCCCAGAAAGATTGTCTTCTTTCAACATGCAGCTTCTAGAAGGGACACTTGAGGGATTTTGATGGAAAGATTGACTGACTCAGCCACGTCAATGGACCCAGGGGAGCAAACAGCTCTTTCTAGGCCTCTGACCCCGTACACTGCGAACGGGAATTACCAGCCTTGAGTTAAGTCTGGTTGTTCATTGAGGTTGAGTCAGAACGGGCCCACCGTTGACCCTCCAGAAGTTTTGCAGAGGCTGTGAACCACATAGGAGGAGATAACCCATCTTTTGTGAAGCAGCTGGTAATTTCAAAATGCTTGCCTTTGGGTTGACAGTGTCACTCCTTACGCAGAGCACCGCGTTAGTCCCACTGACTCAATCTGCAGAACAAAGTCACATCCAAATAGCCAGTTTTGGATCTGTCGCAGCTCTGATTTAGTGAGCATGAGACGGCCACTCCTCTGTCTCACCTGCTGACACCATTCTCTGTCTTTTCTTATTGGTTGTTAGTACTTCCTCAGCTCCAGCCCTTGCTCTAGCCGACTGGAACTGCTCTAAGAATTTATGACTTAGATTTTCCCAAGGTCTATGTTGTTGCTGTTAATGTGTCTTCACGTCAGAACCGACTCATAGCTGAGCCTCCAGTGGGCTTTCCGAGGCAGTTTAATTGGATGACAGGAGATTGTCCATCTTTCTCCCACGGAACAGGTGGCAGATTTGAACTGCATGCCTTTGGGAATTCGGCACAGCTTCTTATCACTAGACCACCATAATTCACAAGATCTATATCTAGGTAGTGTGAGTACTGGTTGAAGCATTGCTTTTCTTGTATTTATCCACAATGCAGCTCCAGACCTCTATGAACCTGTAATTATTAACTGTGGACCATCAGAATCTTTTGTGGCCTAGCGGGAAGGAGCTGCCAACTCCAAAAGCATGCTTTTTGAACTCACCTACTGCTCTTTGGGAGAAAGATGAGCAGTCTCCTCCCATGCTCTTTACAGCTTCTGAAAATTCACGAGTGGGTGAGCTATGGGCCAGTTCTGACTTGACGGTACACAACAAAAGCTATGAGTATGAGCAACAGTCCATCCCCCTCCCTTTACCCACAGACAAAGCCATTACTTAAGAAAAAAACAAGAAGATGAAAAAGGTACAAACTATTAAGTTGTTGTTGTTGTTATGTGCCATCAAGTCACTTGCGACTCATAGTGACCCTATGTACAAGAGCTCTAAATGCTGTTCTATCCTGTGCCAACCTCGCCATCTCAAACACATTCATTCCCACCGCTCCAGTCACAGAATCGATCCCTCTCATCGAAGGTCTTCCTCTCCTTCACCACCCCACCACTCTGTCAAACATGATGTCCCCCTCCAAAGACAGTCCCTCCTTGCAACATGCCCGAAGTATGTCAGACGAAGCTTCAGAATCCTTCACTCCAAGGAGCATTCCAACTTCACCTTCTCCAGGACAAACCTGTTTGTTCTCCTAGCAGTTCATGGTATATTCTATGTACAGTAAAACTATATTAAGAGGCTCAATTAATTGAGCACATATCTGGAAAATGGCTGCATCAAGACCAGTTCTAAGACCTTGTAGGGCACAAATTAACTAGCATTCGTTTATCTATCTATCTATCTATCTATCTATCTATCTATCTATCTATCTATCATCTATCTATCTATCTATATCTATCTATCCATCTATCTATTCATTCTCTCTCTCTCTTCATATATCCAAGAAAATTATCTATCTATCTATCTATATCTATCTATCCATCTATCTATTCATTCTCTCTCTCTCTTCATATATCCAAGAAAATAACAGCCAGTTGTCACCAAGGCAAATCTGGCCCTTGGCAACTTCACTTCCACTGAGCTTCAAGATCATTGAGAGTCAATGTGAAACTGTGTTTACTAAGAGCTGTCTTACTTAGTAAGGACATGAGATGAATCTTGACATCTAGATTTAATGTGCACAACTTTATCTTCTTACCACAACTGCTTAAAACACAGGTGAACCTAAACAGAGTAAACAGAATTGTTGTTTTAGAAGTTTGAAATTTGAATAGGTAGAGGATAGCTATTGGATTTTCGAAGTCATTTGAACTGATGACAATTAAACACCAACTCTAAACATTTATCTGAGAATAAAGGGAGGAGAAAGCAGGGACACAGAATTGGAGGAAATGTAGTTGCCTTTTTGCTAGCTCAAAGGCATGTGGTTCGAACTCACAGACTATCCTGTGGGACAAAGGTAGGGCCATTTCCTCTTGTATGATTTACAGCTTCTGAAAATTTGCGGGAAGGTCAGCTGTGTGTTGGTTCTGACTTAATGGCATGTAACAAAAATGTTTTCTAACTGTGTTTTAGCTGCTGGATCCAGATACACAAGGATCCAAGCCCTGTTAGGCTTCTTACCCTTGGGCCATGTGAGACACTTCAGAATTCTTTCCCATAGATTCTTGGTTTAGCTCCACTATGTTAAAGAGGATTTCTAATACTTGCTACCCAGAACTTGGGTGTTCTGGAAATTGGTAGCTGTCATTGAATCAGTTCTCATTTTAGAGACTCCATGCACAACAGAATCTGCTGCCCAGTCCTGGACCTGGTCCCACAAATAGCTACAGATTGGACTGTTTGGATCCATAAAGTTTTTAATGGCTGGTCTTTTACTAAAAATTATTTCTGTATTTTAATTTACATTGTGTTTCTTAAGATCATTCCCATATATCTCTTACAAAATTAATTACAATTGATCTATGCCCACTGTTACCCAATCTTTACAGATCCCAGCTGGATCTTTCCTAATTCCTTCACATCTTCATTTACCAAACTCTGTGACCCTGTGATTTTCCCCCCACTTTCCCCCTCAGCCCTCCTGGCCCCTTCCTTCCTTCT